GGTTTTTTTTTTTTTTTTTTTTTTTTTTTCCCTCCTTCCACTTCGGAGTTCTTTTGAAGCTATTCACACTTTTTGACCCACCATAGGTAAACCGAAGGTCATATCCACATGCCGGGTGTTGCTCACTATGCAATCAGTTGCAATCATTCGACTGGTCATAATCGAGGACGAAGAGTCATGATAAAATTCTAAGCCTGTCATTTCTCACCTGGGTCCAGCTCAATCATGAGTCAACTCAAGCTGGCCAACAGCCAACCAGCTGAAACCCATCCCCTAAGAAACCGATACACGATAAGAGGGGCAAGCCGCCTCGCACGGAAAAAGAACAACTGCCTAAGCGGCTCAAGAATTTAGCCAAGTTGGATCAAGCCAAATGATCTGGCTAAGAAGAAGATGCTAGATATCTCTGAATTGCCTTTCACTTCGATATCAAGCTCATCGCTAGAATCATTGACATTCTCAACTAGGCCTGCTTTCTTCTCATACTCCTTACTTCATTTTCTCCTCTCTTTGATATTGGAAAGCGCTTAGCATATGCATAAGGGAAAGGTGCTCAAAATCGCCCACTTCGCTTTCTTCTCTGTCGTAACACTACCTAGATATAAGTAGATATGTCATTTTCCTTTGTCAGCTTCCTTTCTGCACTTCGGACACTACGTTTACTCTTCAGACCTATATCTATGGGGTTATCGTTCTTGCCTAGGAATCACAGCAACGCGTGACCGCCGAAAGATGCCGCGTAGTGTCCAGTGTCATCGAACCCACGAGTCGTGGAAAGGCTGCGGCTGCGGCTAGCGGTATGTCAGGCGGTAACTCGCCCATTATTAACATCCTGGTATGAAACTGCACACACTTTCAAATCCGAGCGTAATATGGCAGTGCACAGCGGCAATATCGTCCTTACACGAGCTATTGAAGCAGCCAACGCCGACGGCGATGCCGCAGTTACAAAGGTCATGCAGGAGCCACAACAGAGCTGCGGACTAGCCTGGCCCCAGACCGAGAGGTGACTCTTGGCAAGGCTTCAATTGTCGCTGCTCATGACGATCAATTGAGGTGGTCGAAACCATCCAGCCAGAAGCCATCGTCGAGGTGAAGGCATCTGTTCTCCTAGCAGGCTGTGCAAAAAAGGGCGCCTATGCAAATGGGAATCGAGATGATGATATGGATAATCAAGTGCCACCAAGAAGATCAGCAAAAGAAAGGGTAATAATTTGTCAAAGCATAAACTGCTGACTTAATATCTGAGATACCTAGTTATATTATGTTCTGCCAACACGGTCATGAAAGTGTGATCGTCATTGGAAAATGTGGCCCTGAGTACGTCACCTAAGAAGGGCAAGTGTCTGGTCACAAATCAGGCCTGCGCAGTAAGGACGTAAATAAATATAGTTGGCTATATTTCGTCTGTATGGTAGAATAGAACCCTCAGGCTTTCTTCACGTAGTCAACATTCCTGGCCAACCAACAACCAATCGTAAACCCTTGGATTGCATCATGCTCATCCCGAGAAAAGGCAATAGTCCAATCTCCCGGAGCTGGTGCATCCAGACCACGTGGACAAGTCAAGGCCCAAACATCATCCCCCAGATATTTCATAGGAGTTGCATTCCCTTGACCCAAATATCCATCAAACGCACCGTATAGCATGCCATCCTCGCCAAGACAATGGAAGGTAGATTCAATTTCGGCACAGTGGTAGATACCTTGGAATGGAGTCCCTTTAAGGATCGATTCTTTCGGGACAATACGCCGAGCACTGAGCATCCGGTTATCTCTCACACGACGAATACTCAACAAATCTCCATCTATCGTCACGACCATTGAATCAGATTTTCCACGATTCGGTGAACTAAGTTTGATAGGCTCGGCGGACCCGTCGTAGCTGATGGTCACCTCTCCATCCCGTGCGCCCTTGGTGACGACGATCGACAGCTGGGTATGCTGATCAAGGAACGCGCCGACCCAACCTTCGCCCGCCTGGACAGATGCTGTCTCAGGCTTTGGTAGTTCCAAAAGATCTCTGAAGATATCAATGTTGGGGCCGAATGCGCCCGAGTCACTGTTAAGCATAATGACGACGGACAAGCGCTCGCGTGGTGCGTGTCGCCGGTGCAGCCGATACCCTCGCAGCGCTCCACCATGTCCAATCGTGTTCACACCATCGATGTCAGTGTGACTTAGTCCATAACGGTAATTTGCAGGAGTACCATCTTTGAACTTCGGAGCAGTGATAGCAGCGTGATACCAGCTTTGTGGATCAGCGTAGCAGCGATCGAGATACTTCTCGTACGCGATCATATCAGTGAGTGAAGCCACCAGCCCAGCATCACCAGACCATTCCATTCTGTTAATAGCCGCTGTGAAACCATGCTGCTCGTCGCCCTCATATCCGACACAGGGCGGTGGGTGATGTGCGGTGTTGGGGCAAAGGAATGCCGTGCTCATACCAGCCGGTCCGAGTATTCGCTCCTCGAGCAATTTGTCAAGAGAACTCCCAGTAGCTCTCTCAATCACTCGGGCAAGTACGTGGAAGTTGACATTGCAGTAGGAAAATTCCGTTCCCGGCCGGAACTGGAATGACTTGGTTCGGGCAAGCAGTGGACCGCAGTCTCTCTCAATGAGGAACTCGTCGTCGGGCTTAGACCCCCACAGTGTGGTCATAGCCCAGTAGTCGCGCATACCGGATTGCATGTCGCATAGCCGATCAATTGTCAGTTCACCGTCAGCAGTGAGCTCCGGGCTTAGTATTTCCGTGAGATGTTCTGAGAGCTGCTTCCGGACATCGCCCTTTGCAGCTAATGTCGGGGTTGGATTACGCTCCAGATCAATCAACAACGCACACACAAACTGTTTAGTAATTGAGCAGATGGGTATTTGCGTTTGAGCTGTCATGGGAATCCGTTGGTCCAGGTCGGCGAATCCCCAGACGCGCTGGCCGATGACATCGCCATCTTTGACGACAGCGATGGCACCTCCTGGGCTTCTACAGCGGAGGGCAGTTTTGTTCAAGACCTCTTGAACCTTTTCCTTGGTGATTTCCATACTTTCAGATGACGTAGAGACAGTGAACTTGGGACATCTTCGATGTTGCGGGAGTTACCCCACTTCCAGTTGGTTAGTTATCGCAGATAGCTGACAAGTCGCTAAATATAGCACAATAAAATTGTATAGAGCCCAATTGTCTATAGCAAATGTTGATAAACTACACTTTTTATTGGAATATCAGTGAGTCAATTCGATGGGAGGCTATAATGTGAAATTTGGATTTCCGAAGTGACAGTAGGGGGAAAGCCTAAAAGGCTAGTATTTGATAAAGACGTGGACATTGAGACCCCTTTATCTAAGATAAGCCATCCATTTAAAAGATGATATAACAATAAAGTACATAGATAGAAAGTATATCTATAATAGACGAACCAGGGAGTCAAATGGCCCGACGATAGGGAAATCGAATGCATCTACTTGTAAATAATGGCACCGTCCATGGATGCTACTTTCCAATCTTGAGCATTATTATTGGAGCACTCCGTACTACCATTATGTAGTTTCGCGAAAAGTAGCCGTAAAAAGATAATAACCGTTCCCCTAGGAAGTATTGTCCTCAGCAGCACACCTCGCACATCTAAAATATCATTGCACTCAAGCTTCAAGGTCGGCAAGCGAAGTCGTCGGTTCTGAAGTCGAATAAAAAAGTGTGTGAAAAATACCGAGCTAATTTTGCCCACCTTTGAGAGGAGATGTGATTAGTCAATGTCGCCTTGGGGTGAGTTTGAACTACGACGTATTTTAATCGGTATGATTGGATCAAAAATATAATGTAGAGAAAGGGGTTTCTGCATGTGTTGGAAGGATAATAGGATGGCAATATTGAATGCCATTGTTCGACATCTAGACTCGACAACGGCCGAGAATAGAGACTAGAACGCCACGATGCCCCCTACCGGCCGATCATTAAACTCTTTAAGGGTTGACCTAGGGAGCTTAAAAGGGGTCGGTTAATAATAGACCAGTGTAGCTAGCTGACTAACGTAGGGAATATTACGGAGTAGTAAACCCCTAATGGAACCTTCCAACGGACTCGATCATGCAATGACACCGATTCTCCACTAGGGTGTCTCTGTCATATTCTTGTGCACAGACATGGTCTATGTACTACCTACGGAGAACTCCGAGGTGTCTGCGACCCACTACAATGTATACATACCAAAATGCAACAAATAAAAGAGGTTCAAATGTGAATGGAAGCAACGCTTCGCTTCCAAAGTCGGATTGAAATATCCGGGGAGATCGGGCAAAATCATCGAATGCAGCCTCGGGATCCATGGAATCATCAAGACCCACTTCTCATGCATATTTTTGGAATCAATTAACTATCGGATCAGCCAATCGGAGGGTTTAAAACAGGGTTAAAGTGGACAAGCCAACGTGTTTCGACCCACAAAATCCAGAGAACTACGCTGTGGCGCAATCTAGACTTGAATTTTCATGTCTAGAGCCAAACCTTGCTTTCGGTCTTTAGAGGGCCTTTCGAGGGTCACTTCTCTTCCGTTTGCATTTCTCACTTCTACTTCCACTTTCACTTTTATTCTCATCTTTGTCTTTTCAAGGTTTCCCTGGCTACATTCTTTTACTCCAGGTTTTCTTTTTCATCTTCTCATACTATCAACACTCGTTAAAACATTCAAAATGCGTTCCGCTCAATTCCTTGCCCTCGCGATGGCCGTCGCTACCTCCGACGCCATCTCCCAGGGCTTCAACTACGGTGCCCTGAAGGTTGACGGCAGCCTCAAGACCCAAGCCGACTTCGAGACCGAGTTTGCAACTGCTAAGAATCTCGTTGGAACCGACAATGCCTTCACCAGTGCCCGTCTGTACACCATGATTCAGGGTGGCACAACCAACGGCCCCATTGAGGCCATTCCCGCTGCTATCAAGGAGAAGACCACCCTTCTCCTGGGTCTCTGGGCTTCCGGTGGCGACATGAGCAACGAGATTGCTGCCCTCACATCCGCCATCAACACCTACGGCGACGACTTCACAAACCTGGTCGTCGGTATCTCCGTCGGCAGTGAGGATCTTTATCGTGTCTCTGAAACCGGTGTCAAGGCCAACGCCGGCCTTGGTATCGGACCCACCGAGCTTGTTGACTACATCAACCAGGTCCGCTCCGCCATTTCCGGCACTTCCCTGAGCGGCGCCCCCATTGGCCACGTCGACACCTGGAACTCATGGACCAACGGCTCCAACTCTGCTGTCATTGAGGCCGTCGATTGGCTCGGTTTCGATGGATACCCTTACTACGAGAACACCGACCCCAACTCCATCGACGACGCTAAGGCCCTCTTCAACAAGGGCGTAGAAAAGACCAAGGCTGTCGCCGGCGGTAAGGAGGTCTGGATCACCGAGACTGGCTGGCCCGTTACCGGCCCCACTGAGAACCTCGCTGTCGCCAACGCCGCCAACGCCAAGCAGTACTGGGACGAGGTTGCCTGCCCCCTGTTGGGCAACACCAACACCTGGTGGTACATCCTCGAGGATGCCGGTACTACCGCCCCCAGCTTCGGTGTCACTGGTTCCTCCACCGACACCACCCCTCTGTACGACCTGAGCTGCAAGGCCTCCACCTCGTCCAGCTCTGCCGCCGCTTCCTCTGGCACCTCGGGCGCCGGTCTCCCTGAGAAGTCTGGCTTCGTGTCTTCCGCTTCTGCCTCCCCCACCGGCTCCACCTCTGCCGGCTCCGACGCCTCTGGCTCCGGCTCTGGCTCCGGCTCTGGTTCCGCCAGCTCCTCCGCTGGCTCCTCCTCCGTCCGTCCTACCTCTGCAGCTGTGACCAGCGGTGTCCGCCCCTCTACCAAGCCCAAGTCCAAGAGCGCTTCTGCCTCCGCCTCCGCTTCCGGGGCTGCCTCTAGCTCTGTCCCTGGTTCCTCCGCTACCGCCACTGGTGGCAGCAACTCCGGCTCAGGATCCTCTGCCTCTGGTTCCGGTTCCGGCTCTTCTTCCTCCGATTCCGCCTCCGCCTCCCCCAGCCTCCCCGTCAGCTCTGCTACCCGTGTCGCCGGCTCTGCTGCCGGTGCCCTGGTTGCTGCCCTCGCTCTTGCTTTCACTCTCTAGGCATGTCATTTCCCCTGGGCGATTCGGAGTGATTGGTTGGATGATACTCAACTCACCTTAGTCTGTCATTTGATGGTCGGTGATCGGCTGATTTTATGTAATATTTCTTACATTTGTTTACTAGTTACTGTCTAGATATTATACTTACTAGTTACTAGTACCATATGGTTTACTTGTACGTTATATCAAAAGTACAATCCGAAGTCTTTCTATCTCGCAGTATCGTTAGGTCTGAGTAGTCTTTGATTCATTCGTTAGTGAGTGGGGTTCTGCTCATCGATGGATATGTGACATGCGATATGGATGCATATTAACCCTAATCCTCAGAGTCGAGATGGATTGAATTGGGCTACTGATGGAGTATGATCCCAGAGACACGACAGTTATGTTATATTTTAACCAGCCTCTGGTTCCCTATATCAACACAATTTAAACCACCTGCAAACCTATTCGCTAACTGGGTGTCGTTTTCGCGGGGGTCTAGACCATGGCTTTAAGTTCATAGAGGTGTTGAATTTGTCCTTGGCGTCTTGCTTCTTCAACAACTCTCGATCTAGCTCATATTGCAGCTATACACTTCGACGTGGCCATATCCTTGTAGGTCTAGTTTTCAATCCGAGTAAGAAGCATTCGCTCTATCTGAGAACAAAGAATGGAAGGTACAGTTTTCTACTATTCTATGCCTTCGTTTTTCTCCAGCAAATTTGCCTAGCTTCTTATCGAACCTGCCAAACATTGCCTATTTGGGAAACCCTAGCGCTATTCCACCCCCCCCCCCAAAAACCCCCTAAGAGTAGATGATACTGTTACAATAGATAATACTATAGCCCTGGAGGATCGTGAAATCAGCATAATGAGACAACAGAGCGACTTCGATAGAGGAAAGTACCCCATGAGGCAGGCGCGAAACAGAACTCTTTCTTCTCTACTTCTCTCACCTGACATTGGCATTATCCAAGATGGTTCCTGTCCAGGTGATTCCCAATGTATTACAAATTGTCAGCCTGAGACATTAGTCTATTTCCAAAAAAACACCAAAGCCACCCAATGCGGAAGTTAAGAAATTGATGTGATAGGACGAGATAAAGCAGTCAAGCACTGATTAGACCCGACGAGATATAGTCCAGTCCGAGTCCAGTTTACCGTGATCGGCACTCTCATTGCAACGCAACTGGTTCTTCTGAGGATTTCACACGCGGGGCTAGGTCTGCTCATTTAATTCTCTTTCCGCCGCTGTTTCTTTTTCCCTCTTTCTTTCTTTTTGGTCCCTCTCATCTTTTATCTTCTCGGTCATGGATAGGGATCAGCGCAAAGATGATGTCCACTCCACTGTGGAGGTGGATGGTCTACCCCAAAACAAGATCGACCAGCCGACTGCACCAGATCAATTCGACGAGAGGTACCGCACCACCCGGATGGAAATCTGGGCCTATTATGCGTGCGTGGATCTTTGAATTGACCCTGTGCGGAAGCTAAACGCCACGGTTGCAGCTATTACATTGGCAATAATGGCTTGTCGCTCTTCAGTGGGTCTATCCGCATTCTCAATCAGGATCCTAATTTGCAAATGGAAACAGAACCTGACCCGTTCTAGACTTCGCGCCAACTGCTTTTCAAAACTTGCTCTACCAGGCAGCCCCTTCCGATGGACTGCTCACCTTTATAGGCAGGCCACGCACGGCCAACAGCATCGTACTGCTCTCAAATGGAATCTCCTTTGCAATCCAAGTCGTCATATTCCTGGTAATTGGCAGTTTCGCCGATTTCGGTCACTGGCGACCCAACATCTTGATCGCACTGTCAATTATTGCCTACGCCATCGGCTTTGGCTGGTTAGGTGTCCATACTCCGGACAAATGGCATGTCGCGGTCGGTCTGTATATGGTTGGTTTGATCGCCTACCAGACCACGCTCACTTTCTGGACTGCAGCTTTCCCGGGATTGGCGCGCAATTCTCTCGAATTGAAGGAAAAGGCCGACGCGTATGTCGCGGGAACGATTACTCGTGATGAATACGACTATGCGGACACCATGATGCGCAGCAAACTTGCCAATGTCGCTTTCTATGTTCAGTCCGTGGCGGAAATCTTTATTTTGGCGATCATCGTGGGAATCATGTTCGGGTTGAATGTCAATGCCAGCGAGAGTAATAACAACTGGGGGCTGAGTGTGCTTATCGCCTTCGTCTCTGGTGTGTGGTTGCTTGTCTCGATTCCGTGGTTTATTCTTGAGAAACGCCGTCCCGGTCAAGACCCTGGGAGACGGTCTATTCTTATTGCAGGACTGTGGCAGCTATGGCATGCTATGAAGCAGATTTGGCATTTAAAGCAGAGTCTCCTCTATCTGATTGGTAAGCCTTTATCTTCTAGTATGTCTGTTGTTTGGGTACTGGGTGCTAACGGTGCTGGCAATAGGTTATTTCTTACTTGGTGACTCTCTCAATACCACTGTGACTGTTATCGCAACTTTGCAGAATAGCATCGTTGCGTATAATACCCTGGAACTGACATACCTGCTTATTGTTGGTATTGCTGCACAGGTGAGCTTTGAGTTCCTGAGCCATTTGGTTACAACCTGACAGGTCTCTCTTAGGCGGTTGGCATATACGCATTTTGGACAATCCAGCAACGCTTTAAGCTCGGAACAAAAGCCATGTTCAACACCATTGCCGTTGGAATCATCCTACTTGATGGCTGGGGCATGATCGGTATCTGGACCGACAAGTTCGGCTTTCACAATTCATGGGAAGTCTGGGTATGTTAATCCCGCTCTGGAATATGAGCAGTAATACCTAATTATATATTATATAGGTTTACCAAGCGTTCTACGGCCTTTTCATCTGCCCCTGGTACAGCTACTCGCAGATCATGATCTCAGAAGTCACACCACGCGGCCACGAGTTCCTATTCTTCAGTCTCTTCAGCATCATTGGCAAGACCTCGTCTTTTATCGGTCCCATCGTCTCCAGTGCAATTATTGATGCGAGTCCATCGGGAAATGTCTCGATGCCATTCTACTTCTTGTTTGCGTTGAGTGTCGTCAGCTTTTTGATTCTGTTCTGGGGTGTTGATTTAAAGAAGAGCCAGGAAGAGCAAGAGAGGTTCCTGTTGGACAAGTTGCGGCAGTGGAATGCCAGTACGTCGTCATCTTCTGATGAGGGGACTTCTGCAGCGGTCTGAACTATCATCTTCAGATATGTCATGGGTGGTTGACTTTTTCTGGTGTCTGTCCATATAGGCACTATGGCTTTAGGGGATACTCTTAGGGGATACTCTGATACATTTTCTAGTATACATGCCGCTAAATAATGACGTGGAGCGGACGTCTACCGAACACAGCTATTGATAGAAAGTGAGAGGTGACCAGCCATAGGTTTGAGAGGAAGACATATAGGAGGGACCTAGTCATTTCAATGATTGCATCAGGACATCCGGACAAGCCACAATTGTCATGGTCGCTGATAAAGGCGTCTACGCTTTTTACATAATTGACTTAACTACATATGTAGGTGCATATGTAGGGAGACTTAGACTTGACTGGCGAAACTTGAAAAGAACGAATCGAAGACGGCCGGCCATCGATCAGACGAATAATAGACATCTTCACTATCAGTTCAAAAACGATGTGCTTAGAGTAGATCATTTCTTGGTATTGAACAATACTTTTTGTAAATATACACACCAGCTTGGGGCGTACACGGGTTGCAACGTTGCAACGAAGAACCAGGAGACAAGACATTTAAACGCCAGACCTATGCACTGCCATAAGCGCCAATTCCGATACAAGATACCGATACCACAATCAAAGAGCAGATCATTCCCCATCGGAAGAAGCTTCCTTAGACTTGCTCTTCTTTTTCTTCTTCTCTTTGCGCTCGGCAGCCTCGTCGGCGTCGACATCCTCCTCGACGTCGCGTTTCCGCTTGCTCTTCTCCTTCTTTTCTTTCTTTTCCTTCTTGTCCTTCTTCTTCTTCTTTTGCTCAAGATCGGCCGGCGTCACCTCCTCGGGCGCAACAAAATCCTTCTCGCGCTCGCGCATCTTCTCGTCCCGCTTGAGGCGCTGTCGCTCGACAACCTCCTCCTTGTGAACGCGTTCCTTGGCCTCCTTTGACAAGAAGTACTCTCCAGACTCGATCTGCAAATCGACCTTGCTCTTTTCCGGTGCAGGAGGGAACGGCGTGTACGTCTTCTTCGTCTTGTCGGTGACCTTGAACGGCACGTGACGCTTGGACAGCGTGCGCTTCTTGAAGTTAGGCAGGAACCGGTCCCAGGACTCTTCCGCCAGCGTCGGGTCCTTGGCGAGCTCGCGCTTGATCATCAACTCCTTGATGTGGTAGATCGGGTGGATGTTCGCCATGCAGTCGTCGATAATGCGTCGCACCTCCTTCAGTCCCTTGAACGGACCCATCACCGCCACCGTGTTACCCTGCACCAGAATGTATGTGCTAGTGAGCAGCTCGAGCGCTTTGAGGGTTGAACCGTTCGGGCCGAGAATACGCTGACGCCGCTTCACGAATCGCTCTTTGTTCCGAACTTGGTTGCGGATCTTGATCACGTCGCATGCCACGCCGTCTTCGAGGATCTTCATCGCTTGTGTCACCGGTACGCTTCGTGCAAGCAGCTTGATCAAATCCCGGGCTTTGATGATCGCTGCTGGGTCGTAGGTCTTCCGCGTCGTCTTCACTGTCATGCTACCCTCAACCAAATCCAATGTACAGGCGATGCCCTGCTTCTCCAGCGCTCGTGTAATCACCGGCCATGCTTCCTTCAAGTACTGTTCACGGTATTTGGGGAATAGTGTCATGAAGGACGACTCCTCGGCGAAACTGCCCGCGGCATTATGTTCCGGTTTGAATTCTTCGATCTGTTGCGAGGATCAGTAAGGATTTTTTTTCAATGTAAAAAAAAGATAGCAGCTGTATGTGTTGGCTTACCTTCCACTTATCGATATCATCTGTATCCCAGGCCTTCTCCTTATTATGCGTTGAAGGCATCTTGTTG